ACTTATCACATGTTTGATATTCCGATAGCGCCCATCTCGGACCTTCAAGATTTGTGCTCCCGCTGCAGCGTTGACAACATCTCACGATCAGTGCTTTCGCTGCCGCCCTCTTCCTTTCCCATCCTCCGCATTTCTTTGATCATCCTGCTCATCCTGCTCCTCCTGCTCTTGCTGCTGTTGCTCCTCCTGATCCTCCTAATCTTCCTCCTCCTCCTCCTCCTCTTCGGCCTCCGCCTCCTCCACCTCCTTCCTTCATCGCCCTGATCATCGTCGTCTACCTGCTCAGTTTCTTGCTAATTCGCCTCCTCCTCCTCCTCCTCCTCCTCCTCTTCCTCGTCCTCGTCCTCCAATGTGAAGCCACCCGCGATGTCAGATATGGCGCGAGTGCGCCTGGCTTGCCTCTCCTTTTTCCCTGCAACTGCACATCATGAGTGCTTCTATCCTCTCGACTGGCAAAGCCCACTGTTTACCGCCCCCTCCCGCGTATTTGTTTGTTCACACGAAGTGTTCCAATAGTTGATGTTTCTAGGCTCACTTTTAATCAGAACATGTTCGGCCCTTCACAGCACAACCACCAAAACGACGAAGGCGACGACGACGACGACGACGACGACGAAGACGACGACGCCGTCCGCGGCCTCCGAAGGCCCTCCAAGGGGCCTCCCAGGGCCCTCCCGAAGGGCCTCCGAAGGCCGCCCCCGATGGCCGCCGCCGCCGACGTCGGCGGCAGCAGGCCGAACGGCAGCTCCTGCGCGAGGCCACCAGGCGGGCCGCGCGGGTCGCGCGGCGCCGCGCCGGCGACGGTCGCCCTCCGCCGCCCTGGCGACGGCGCGGTGGCGACCGCCTCTGCGCGCGCTCGGCGCCGGCGGCGGCGGCGGCGGCGGCGGCGACGTGGACAGTCAGCAGACCAACCGGCGTGATCTCGCACTGCATTATTTCGACCGACCGACCGACACGCACCCAGCGCACGCTGGATCCTCCCTCACACGACTCGGGCGGGCGCGGCACAGGCAGTGGGCTGCGACGCACCGTCCAGCGCCCTCGGAGCACCGCCAGCCTTCCTGGCAGCCAGCTCCGCGGCGTCCGCGCCGCCCTCCTGGCCACCGCTGGGGTGTTCGCCTGGGCAGCGCCTGCTGTAGCAGGTGAAGGCGCAGACGTTGACCACCAGAGCGAGCAGCATCACACGGTCCCACGGCCTCTGGGGCAGCGACTCCATGCCAAAGCAGACGGACAGGATGATGGTCGCAGACTTGTTGAAGTTGCCGGCGAGTGCCGCGTGGGTGGCGGAGAAGTCCTGGACGAGCTGGAACTGCAGCACGTTGTAAGCCAAAGCAAAGACACCAGACAAGACCAGCCAGGCCAGGGTGCCCGGGCTCAGCTCCAGGACGACCCTGAAGATTTGCACGTCCGTCACGCTCTCGAAGCCTGGCCAGTTGACCAGGTGGGGCGCCAGGACGGCCGGGGGCAGCAGGCAGAGCGCAGCCGGAAGCGCCATGTAGAATGCCGAGTCCACATAGTTCAAGTCCATCTTCTGACCCAGGGCGGCCACGAGCAAGAGGCTGGCGGCCGCCGCTGCGCAGGACAGGCAGCACGCGGCCACCCCAAAACACAGGCGGCCCCACTCCTGCGGGGAGCCGGAGCCCTCGCCCCTGGCGAGGGTGGCCAGACAGGCGCACAGCACCCCGAGCGACATGAATCCCACATCCTTCCAGGACACTGGCGGCGTGCCTCCCAGCCGGCACCGCGAGATGATCAGCTGCAGCGCCAGGGTGACCAGCGGCAGGCAGGACCGTATGGTGATGTTCAGCGACATCGGCAGATACGAGAGGCTCAGGTTGTTGAGGCCCAAGTTGGCGGCAAACGCCGCGGAGGCACAGACCACGGCGGCCCACTCCCTCGGCGTCTCGAGGCTCTTGAACCTGTACCGCCACGGCGTAAACCAAAGAGCCGCTGCGGCAGCCGCCAGCACCAGGAAGGCCACCATCTGCTGCATGGCCGTGACGAGGAACGCGACGGGGACCCCCCGCATGCCGAGGGCGCGGGATATCTCGGCGTCGGACAGCACCACCCGCATGTAGAGGCTGAAGCCCGCCTGCGCGCCGAAGTACAGAGCGACGAGGCCGGGCATGCGGCGCCCCAGGAGCAGCAGCGCCGACCCCAGCAGCAGGGCGCACGCCGGCACGCTCAGCTCCGCGGCCCGCTGCAGCTGCGCCGGCACGGCCCCCGTGCCGCTGCACACCATCCCGCCGATCGCGCAGGGGGCGGAGGCGTCGGGGGGGGCGCCGCCGGCTGGCGCCGCCGCGAGCGCCGAGGCCGCGGCCCCCGGCGCCCGCGCGCCCTCGCGCGGCAGAGGCGGCGCGCCGGGCGGCTGGCGCGCAGAGGGCTCCAGGTGGAAGGTCGCGCGCGTGCGCTCCGCGAGGCTGCCGGGGCACGCCAGCAGGGCCGCCGCCAGCGGCAGCAGCCAGCGGCGGGCGGGCGAGAGGCGCCAGCCGGAGCACATCGCGGAGGCTCCGCCGGCAGCTCGAGCGGCGCGCGAATTGCACCAGAGGGCGCGTCTGTGGTGCAAGTGTCGAGCCGAGGAGGAGGGGTTCGCACGGTGTGGCCCTATGTCTGTGGAAGTTCCTCAAGCTACGGATTTCTTCGGCCAGAGTGGCTACGGAGCACCACCCCTTCCTCCCCGTCCTCATGGCGTCTTGCGGCGGAGAAGACTCCTCTGGCCGCGAGGTCCGCGCAGGCCACAAAAGTCGCAGACGCGACCAACATGTGCAAGGCACTGCCGTCGGTATCTCGCTCATCATGATCATGATCATGAACATGGTCATGATCATGCGCATGCTCATGCTCATGCTCATCATGATCAGCATCATGATCATTATTATTATGATCATCATGATCATCATCATCACCACCACCACCACCACCATCATCATCATCATCATCATCATCATCATCATCATCATCATCATCATCATCATCATCATCATCATCATCACAATCACCATGACCATCGCCATCGCCATCGTCATAATCAGCATCATCAGCTTCTTATTCTTCTTCATCATCAGCATCATCATCATCATCGTCAGCACCATCATCATCAGCATCAGCATCAGCATCATTATCAGCATCATCATCACTACCATCACCATCACCATCATCATCAGCATCATCATCACCACCATCATCATATTCATTACCACCCACCAACACCATCACCATTACCACCATCATCATCATCAGCAGCAGCAGCAGCAGAACCCCCGCTGTCATCAACATCAGCATCATCATAATCATCACAACCACCAACACCATCACTATTATCATCAACAGTAAAATCATCATGCCATCACGGTCATCATCGTCATCATCATCGCCATCATCATCGTCATCATCATCATCGCCGTCGTCGGCAATGCAACCGTCACCATGGTCGTCTTCAAGGGACTCTTCGTTTCGGCTTCTGCCCCCTTCTTCAAATTGTGAATCATCTTCATCACGCACCGCAGTAATCGTCGTCATCGTCATCATAACAATAACAGTCGCCAACGCCATCGTTATCATCTTCTGCATGACCAGGGTGATGCCAAACAGCATAATCATGATGATGAACATGATCATGATCACCATCATCTTCACCAGCATCATCATCATCATCATCATCATCATCATCATCATCATCATCATCATCATCATCATCATCATAACTATATGGCCCTCTGCTCCACTCGTTCCCCAAGCTCTTGTCCGTCGCCTCCAAGCCCAGGCGCTTCAGCCGTACGGAGTCTAGACCGCACGCGCTGTTCAGGATATCGGCAGGTGGGATAGCGGATCGCAGAGGACCGCCGGAGAAAATAATCAGCATCACGAGAATCATCATCATCATCATCATCATCATCATCATCATCATCAGCATCATCATCACCAGCATCGTCATCATAATCACCATCATCATCAGCATCATCATCACCATCATCAGCAGCATCATTATCATTATCTAATCAACACCATCCGCATCATTAACATCACCATCATGATCCTAATGACCGTCCTCATCATGGTCGTCATCGCAATCACTACCACCACCGCTGTGATCGTCACGATCACCACCGTCATCGTCCCCGCCGCCATCACCATCATGGTCCTGCGCTCGCAGCTGATGCCTGTCTCTGCTCCTGACCACCGCTGCCCACATCGCCGACGCCGCTGCCCTCGGGCCCTGAGAGCACCACCCCCACGGCCCTCCTCACCCTCGTACCTGTGCTGGCGCACGCTCGGCCGCCGCCTGGGCCTTGCCGACCTGCGCCCCGCGGCCCGCGCCAGCGCCGCCCGCGCGTGCCCTGGCCCCCCGGCCTCTCTGCCCGTCGCGCGCCCGCGGGGCTGCGCTGCCGAGCGCACTGCCCTCCCAGCTCTGCACACAGCCCAGGGGAGTGCAAAGTGCTACGTCGTGGGGATGCACTTCTTTTTCTTATGATTGTTCTCTTTTTCCTTCCTGCCGCTCCGCGCAGGAGGAAAACGGGGGGCCCGCCGCGCCTGTGCATCCATAGTTGTTTGGTCCCCGGCGCCGGCGACGTCGGCGGTGGCGTCGGCGGCGACGACGGCGGCGGCATCGGCATCGGCGATCGCGGCGACGTCGGCAACCACGACGACGGCGGCGGCGGCAGCGACGGCAACGGCTACGGCGCCGGCGAGGGTGATGGTGGCGACGGCGACCGCGGCGGCAACGGCGACGTCGGCGGCCACTGCGACGACGGCGACGGCGGCGGCGACTGCGACGACTGCGACTGGGCTACTGGAAAGACACCGTGTCCCGCGGGAATGCCCTCGTTCGATACCAATGAATCGCTGGAGCGCAACCCATGGGTTGCTGGAAAGACACCGTGGCCTGCTGGAACGCCCTCGTCCGGTACAGCTACCAAGTGCTCGAAAGCATTACTTGGCTTCTGGAATCTCGCCATTCCCTGCTGAAGCGCCCTCGCCCGATACAAATTGACTGCTGGAGCGACACCCTTTGATGGATTTAAGCGTCCAGACAGGAGGAGGGAAACGGGTGGGGGGACGGCGGGGGGCTAGCATTGTACATACGCTTCGTTCTCAAACGGAAGCCGCTGTCCCGATACACAAACGCAAGTGCGACATGCTCGCAAGCAACAGCACTCCCCTGACTGTAGGTCGCCTAACCTCGCGCTTGGCTAGGCGCGAAGCGCAGCCATCCTCGCACCCTCATGCCGCCCTCCTTGAGAGCAGATGAGAGCAGTGGTTATCCAGCAGACCAGTCGGCGAAGCACGAGGCGCGGTTACCGTAGCGCTAGCGTCCACCACCGCCCCTGCCACGTTCGCCTCCAACACCACCACCTCCTGCTCTCTTGATCTCTCCCATCGCAGGAGCCGTGCGCACTGTTGCGCCCAGGGGGAGGTGGGAGGAAGACCGCAGTTGGCTGCACGCAGGAGTGACCCTAGGCAAGAGTGACCCTTGGTGCGCGGCCGAGGGGGGCCCTCTTGGGGACAACGCCAGGCGCGAAAGCCGCCGCTGTCGCACTGCATCCAGCGATCGGGCGGGCCCCAATGGGCCCGCACCAAAGGTCACTTTTACGTGTAGTCGACGAGCAGTCGACGTAGACCGATTATGTAAAGACGCGCTCTGGAGACGCTGCCGAGATGATTACCCACCTAGACCAGATCCGATTGAAACAAAAACGTTGGTCGATTTAGGTCGGGCATGACCCCTCCAGGCGGATTCTGGACGAAATATAAAAGATACTCAATACGTGCCCCCCAAAAAAACAAAAATAGGCAAAACGTCGTTCCCAGACTATTGTTTGACTATTCTTGAATCTTCCTCCTGTAGAGGGACACGCCCGACCTAAACCTAGACCAGATCCGATTGAAACAAAAACGTTGGCAGATCTCGGCGGCGAGCGAAGGGGCACGTGAGACGAGGCGGGCCTTCTCGGAAGGCTCGGAAGTCCCTCGGCCTTCCGAGGAGTTTTCGAGGCCTTCACCTGAAGACGCAGGAGGAGGAGGAGGTGGAGGAAGTAGACGAGCTGGAGGAAGAGGAGCCTTCCCCGAAGACACGGAAAACTTCTCCGAAGGTGTGAGGGCTTCTGAGAAGTCCCGCCGCCTTCTGAGAAAGCCATATCCTTCTCACTTCCCCCCTTGCTCGCCGCCGAAGATCCCTGGATCCTGGCAACACCTTGCAAAGACGTGGACGACCCGCCAATGTCATCCCCTGGAGCGACGGGTCAGTCTTGGCGTTCGGGTCAGAAGCCGGGCCATGACGGCACATCAGCAGCAGTGCCAACAATCAGGCACAGCTGGGGTGGGCCTTTTGCCGCTCCCGATTCCCCCACAAACATGTGGCAGATCCACGTTGCGATGACATTGGCATCAGTTTCTGACACCATGTGAAGCGTTCAACCTTGAACGATCGCGACTTTCCAATAGCGCAAACCTTTCGATGTCGGTCGAGTCCGGGTCCGGGCCTCTGGCTGCTGCGTTCAACCTTGAACGCCCACGTTGGGGTCACGGCCGTGTCAACGCGCCGCGAACCTACCCTACGCGGCGTCGCCTCCACGGTCACTGTGCTGGTCGGAGCATCAAAAATGTGCCTGGCGAAGGACCCAGCCATATGCAGTTGTGACTAACGCAACTGTGTGCATCGTCTTCGGTGGACCTCCCTATGGGGCCACGAGACGTGTGAGAAGTGTGCCGACATGGGTGGCGGGGCTCCGTGGGTGCCAGCCACTGTGGCGCTTAGGCCGTTGCGGATTTCTGTTGATTGTCGTTCTGGGCAGTTTTCCCAGCGGGGGCGGGAGGGCACCGCGTTTTCCACCCAGCGCCGTTTTCACGGGCACCTTCTTCACGGGTGTGCCGCTGGGGCTGCTACTGATCATTTTTCAACGCTGCCGCTTGATGCGGTAAAATAACACGCAGCACCGCATATGTTTCCATGTGTTGAGTCGCCTTTTCTTTAGTGGGTCTACTCCAGAGCTAGGGTGTCCCACCAACCAATGTTTGTGTGGGTGGCGGGGACGCATGCGAACACTGCCACTGGGGATTTCGGTGGAGCTCCCTATGCGGCCACGAAGCGTGTGAGGGGTGTGCCGAAATGGGTGGCGGGGACGCATGCAAACACTGCCACTGGGGCCTTCGGTGGAGCTCCCTAGGGCCACGAACCGCGTGAGTGGTGTGCCGAAATGGGTGGGGCCTCGGGTGGAGCTCCCGATGGGGCCACGAAACGTGTGAAGGGTGTGCCGAAATGAAGGGCGGGGGCGCATGTGGACACCGCCACTGGGGCCTTCGGTGGAGCTCCCTATGGGGCCGCGAAACGTGTGAGGGGTGTGCCAATTGGTGGCAGGAGCGCATTTGGACACCGCCATTGGGGCCTTCGGTGGAGCTCCCTATGGGGCCGCGAAACGTGTGAGGGGTGTGCCAAATGGGTGGCAGGGGCGCATTTGGACACCGCCATTGGGGCCTTCGGTGGAGCTCCCTATGGGGCCACGA